GTATCAATGGAGAGAGAAAGTGAAGATGTATTGGTAAAAACAAGAAATTAGAGTTGAACATATGTTGTAAAGGTCTGACCACGTATTGGAAGTCTAAAGTCTTTTAGCTACAAGAAAGTATGTCACAAGTCTAAAGTGACCTTGGATGTAATTAGTAAGTCGAAAAGCGGCTAACAGTGTAAAAAATTCTTTGTTTGATCATATTTTTGTTTAATATTTGTTCTAATTTAAAGTGTTTAGTTTTGTTGTGTTAATTGATTGTTACTTTTCTTTTATTTTATCATTATTTAAATGAGGCAGTGTGAACTACTTAAATTTTGGTGATGACATATCTTTTTATTCTAGAGTATAGTTTTTTTTTTTCTGTTACGTATATTGTGTCATGCTATTTTACAATATATCCCTTGTCACTACAAACTTTTATTTTCATATCGAGAAAATGACCAATAAAATGAACTTTCAAATTAAAGTCAAAAAAAATCTCCAATTCATGTTTGAGCCAAAAAAATTCTCAACTTTTAGATATTGATAATTTTAACCCTCATACTATGTCGACTTGACCATTTAAAAACTCGAACGGTCAATTGTTAAACTCGATTACAGAAACAAATGTATGTTAATTCTTTAAATGAAGTAATTCTAAAAACTGATTAAACATTACTCAAACAACGTCGTTTGCTTTTGCAAACATTTAAAGCATTTTTTTCGTGAAACCAAAACTCCAAATCGACTTCATATTCTTCATTTCGAGTCAGAAAGGTGAAGTCGATTTTGGACTCTAGTTTCACGAAAGAGATGCTTTAAATGTTTAAAGAAGCAAAGCAATGTTGTTTGACTGATTTTTTAAACGACATCATTTACAGAGTTAAGATACATCTATTTTTATAATCGCGTTTAAGAGTTGATAATTCGGGTTTCTTATATAGACGAGATAACAAAATATGAGAGTTAAAATGATCAATATTTTAAAATTGAAAGCTTTTTTGGATTTAATTTGAAAATTCGGAGTTTTAATGATTGTTTTCTCTTTTCATATCAGTTGTGTATTGATGTTGAAAGATTTTTTTTTTAATTTATAATCTTTTATAAATATTAAACGTGTATCTAGATAGAATAACCTAAAATCTCTTGTTTATAACATAGAAACAAAATTTTCCATTTTTTTTATATGCGTTTTTTCTTTATATCTTGTTCTATTTTCTTTCTAGCTAATATAATTTGAAATATTTGTTCTGATTAACTATTTATTTTAATTGTGTTTTTGCATCAATATCATGTTAATTTCAATCGACTTGTTTCATGATTAAAACGAAAAAATGGTATTCACTTATATTTATATATTTTTATTTTTGGTTTGATAAAATGTTAAAAAAGAATATATGGTAAATAAAATACTATATTTATTGTTCTTATGCTTTTTTCTTCTAATTTTATATTTTCATTCTTTTCTCAAGTTAATTTCTCTACTTAAGTTTGATGACCTAAAAAGGAAGTATGTTTTAGAATTAAATTTACACTTTTTCATGATTAGTTGGGATATATCTTTAAAATTTGATATGTATTATTTTTGTTGTAGATGTTTCTGCTATAAATGTATATTTTTCTTACAGCACATAAAAAATTGTTATAGTATATTTTAGAGATTTTATTTTTATTTTTTTGTTCGTAGATTTTGAAATTAAAATAAATTATTATTTTTGTCTTTGTTGGGTTGAATTTCCAGATAAATGTTCGTCGAAAGTTGTCTAGTAAAAAAAAAAGCCCTGGTCCATTGTATAAAAAAACACAGAAAGAAAATAATAATAACAGCTAGATCTTATATTTGTGGTCCATGATTTGTATATCCACTAAGTGTGTTTATTTTAATATGTCAATATATAATTTAATAAATAAAGTTCGTTGCCTATATTGATTTTCTATCTCCCTAATTTTACTTTTGTTTCATCTTCACTTTCATTTTCTCTTATTTGATTTTCATCATTCTTTTTTTATGATCTTTGTGTTTCTCTTCTTCCCCCCTTAGTCTGTCTCTTCTTTGTTTTGTTTCATTCAGATCTGTGTAGTGTTATTCAATCACCCACTATATCGCTATGGTGCACCTCAGAGTGAGAGGCAGACCCATGTTGTAAAAAGAGGTGTCAGCTGACACAAGTTAAATAAATATATTAGTATGTTTACACAATTTTATACTGAGAAGGTAGCTTGGTTGGCTGGAATTTTTCATTCCTGATCCCCCATTCCTGAGTTAGAATCCTGCAAATATCCCTTTTTAATTATTTTTATTAAAAATTGTTTTAAGCTAGGGCAAAACGCAAACTTTTGACACACCTTAGAAACAAGTCTGGGTCCGCCACTACTGCACCTTACACTGACACAGTTGCGATCTATGCCGGCACCATCGAATTATTTGCCTTCACCGTCACATTATACACCAGTACAATTACACTTTAATATTTTTATTTTTATTTATTGTTTTATAGAAGTTTTATATCATCGGAATGGGTTGGATATCGTGAATACAATACGGAGCTCAAAACATGAGACAATTCAATATACGAAGCCCAAAATGTGAAACATCAATGAAATATGAAATACACAGTTTAATAACGCGGACATATGTCACGCAACCAGAGGAGAGTATTAGATGAGGTGGCACTTTCAGAAGAAAAAAAATAACTTTTATGGTAATAAAAGATATGAATATTCTATATGGAGAACAGAAAAACGTAAGTCTTCCTGATTTATGAAGCGATATATATCTACCCATGGATCATTTATTACATATTGAAAATAAAAAAGATTTGACCCTTTTCACTGAGACGCCAAATTAGTCATGGATCAGTTAGTAGATTCGAATGGTGTTGTAAAGGTATACCAATATTACCACTATAACTCGGCATATCCAACTCATTAGTAATATGCAGTATTACTAGCATAACTAGTAACTTAATATAACTAGGTATATCTGACTCGCTAGTATACACATTATATCTTGTATAACCAGCAAAACTCAGTATAACTAATTCTGTAGTATTTAGTATAACTGAGAAGCATAACAACGTACAAATTATCATTATAATTTTGAAATTCAGAATTTTAAAAGTCCATAGAAGATTGTGCCATGCCATATAGGGGCTATAGAGCAATTGTCACGTTGTGAGGATAACATGGAATGTCGCATGTTTGGTTCCAGCAGATGTTGTAGGAGTTTATACATACTATACATAGAGTTAGACAGTTTTCTTTAGGCTACATTTAGTTTAAAACTAAAATTATGCCGCAGCTCAAGTCATTAATTGCTATCTCAATTTCTATGGTGTAGGCTCAGTTATGGACAAACTGCTTTGGTACGATATATGGACAAATTTGGGACCTCTCTATTTAGTCAAGTGTTCAATAGGGACAAGGCATCTCAAAATTCCAAATTGCGTTTCTATCTCTGCGGCTGTGAGCGATGTCATTTGTACTTAATGGCTACTCCAAGTGATACTAATGGCGAGGTACAACCCGGGGGGGGGGGGGGGGGGGGCTGTAAGTGATTTATCTTCCATCTTCACCTTGGGCTCCAATAGTTAAACAGTTTGTTTTCTTCCTCTCTAATCTTTTTTTTCTGCTGTCTTTTTCTCTCTTCGGTTTCTTCTTTGTAATACGTTGTGTCTTTATAACATTGTAAAACGCACAAAATAGTAGCATGAATATTAAGTTATTAACATTTACACAAAAGAAAGACTATCAATTAGGTTTGAAGACAAACTATTTGATGAAGATGAATCATCCATATTAATTGCTTGCATTAGAATTAGATTTCTTTTGAAACTTGAGAGATACATTTGAATATATTAGCATAATATCAATTTTGAGTAATTTAAATATTTATGCAATTCTTTATCAAAGGTATACACGCGCAAAGCTGTATTTCTAAAGTTATAATCAATTGAAATTAATCATTTGACCATGAAATTTGATTTAGGCATATTCATCTTTTTTTATGTTTGATGCTGCATTTGGATGCAAAAAATGTAGATATTCTTGGTTTAGACACTATCGCATCATCATCTAGATGATGATTTATCTACATGTTGCATGTGGATGCAAAATTCTTTACATCTAGAAAGTCTAAATATTTAAGCTACAAAAGAATTAGAGTTTAGATGCATCAAATTCCCTTTAATGCAATATAAAATAACTAAATTTCTATTAGTTATTTTTAATAAATTATATTTTAAAACTGTAAAGTTATATTTTCTTGTTAAATAGTATAATGAGTTTTTTTTTTCTGAAAAACCGTGAAATTTATATTCGCACAAATCATAAAATTGAGATTTTCTGCTTAAACAATAAATTGATTTTTTTTTTGTTAAAACCGTAAAATCAAGTTTTTTTTTGTGAAAATCAAGTTTTTCTACCGAATTTGTAGAATTCAGTTTTTGCCATTGATACTTCACTTGAGACCCATAAACTATAGACCAAAAGAACAATTGATGACACTCGAATAAATGATGTTGATGTACCGTAGATGTTAAAATGTTGATTGGGAATAATTTTTGGTGAGAGGCCCCAGAATTGTAGGCACGTCGAGAATGCAAAGTCTATCTTACTTGATTTTGATTTGACACTGAAACAAACATGACCAACTATAAAACCGACAAAGCTCACTCACGAGACTAGGTGAATCTCAAACACATCGATGAGCATAATTATCGGTGAGACTGGGTGAATCTTAAAAGTACCATTAGAGACTTCAGAACATGCAATAGAGAAGAGGTTAACTAGATGACATTTTAACAAATGATTTATTTCTCATTCCTATTTGAGACTGTATTAACCAGAATTGGATCTACTATTGCAGAATTCTTAACAAATGATTTTTTTTCTAAATCCTTAAGTTCCCCAGCATTTACAGAAGATGGTAACTGAGGGTTCTCATCTTGCAGCTCAAAGAAAAGTTCAGAATCTCTTCTGTAAGCTTTATTGTGATAATATATCAGAGGAGAAAGATAGCTGATGACATTTTTAAAATAATATAACAATATGGTTCCTTATCAGATAGCTTAACAAAGAAAACTGGCATTACACTACTCTGATGAAACAGATGTCAGCCAAATATAAAACAACAAAGTCAAACAAACACTTTAAAGACCCTAAACTTTCCAACTAAAACCCTAAAGAAACTCTCTGCATCAGATTCTTTCAAAGACAGACACTAAGCCCTAGTTTTAAGAACACAAGTCTTACAGAGAGCTACCCCATTCTAGGGATTCTCATAGTTTTGGTTTTTGTTTGTTTTTCACAGACCAAACTCACTTCGGTCTGCTAAAGTTACAAAGTCTCTCTCTACCCTCGGTATCTAAAGCCACGGGTCATTCCTGTTTCAAACTGGCCTTCTTCATCTTTCCTTCTCATCTCTATGATCTTCCTGTGAGAGTTGGAATGCACTGTTGGGATGAAGGTTGGGCTTGAAGCTGGACGGTACTCTGGAAGAAGACGGCCTGATCTGAAGCGGACTCCACAAGCATTGCATAGTGTCTTGGGCCCATTGGGACCTTCCCTCCACTGTGGGGTCTTGGTTGTCTCACAATGAGTGCACTTCCTGATTGTCCCATCTGCGTTGAATGGTTCTGGACTGTGAGGGTTGTTGCTGCTGTTCTTCTTGCGTCTCTTCTTGGAGGGATTCTCAGAAGAGAGGTAAGTTTCTTCAGAGTCTGATTCATCCATAGCAAACTCCTTCTCCAACATTTCCGATAAGAAGGAGTGGAGGGATATGAATTTTGGGATTGTGGGGCGCTTGCGCTTGCTTCTGATGCCTTTCACGGGGAAGGCCAGTCTCTGAGCTCTGTTTTGGTTCTGGAACGAGGCAGACCCATTGGCTGCGTTCTCGAGAACCGAGACTGGGCTTGAGGACTGAAACAGCTTTGAGACTTTGACATCAGGAAGGGAAGTATCAACGGTAGAAGAGACTCCTGACTGCTTCTGCACGCATGAAGACAACAAAAGTCAATGAATCTATACTCAGAAACATATTCAATGCAACCAAAATGTGAGCAAGAAACGCTCATCATACACATGCTAATAATGAAGACATGATCTGATATGCTACCATCCATGGAACATAGAAGAGTTCTAGAGAATGGATAGAACCATACTTAAACTCAATAGAGCCATAGAAAAAAGTACACAAACAGAACAAGCACAAGCATGATTCTACATAGATCAACACATATCCATATCATATTTGGACAATGAAACATGCCTAATTCTTCTTGTTCTCTCTCTCTCTCTATATATATATATATATATATTATTCTGACTAAGAGATTCAGAGAATGACTCATCCTTTATCCCTAAGAACAATTACAGACACTAAACTAGACATAGTAACTCAACTTTCTCACCACATCCTATATATATACAAACCATGGCTGAGCTGGCAACTACTCGTATCTATGGACATTTGACTCAAGACACCAGAACCAAAGACACTGCGCAGTCCTTTACGCATATACGTTCAGAGACACAACATATACACTCTCTACTGCACCACAACGAGGATCCATTTCCAGGATAGAGGTGCTTGCTATCCTAACTGGGTCAGATAATATAGATTGTGCTTCACACTCCAATAAAAGCATAGCGCTTATACTGCATTCCTATTGCAAATGTGCATTTTGGCTATGGATAATCTACAGAAGTAACATGTAAGGGTGATGCATGTAAACATTGACCTATTGCAAATGTGTAAATTACGCATAAAAGGTACAAAATATGCACAGATGATGCATAGATAATGCATAAAAGATGCACAACGATTAGCATAGAAAATCTCCAAAAAAAGTATGCATAAATGACGTATATGAGCAGTGATTATTTGACATTTACACAGATTACTAGCATAATACAGTAAAAGCCGTGGAATCTTGAATCCAAGAGAATGATCTTCTTATGCAAATAGATGTAGTTTGATTCCAAAATAATGCAGTTTCCCAATGCAATAAAAAAACAACAACTGAAGCTTGAATCCAGAAGAATTCCTATGATGAGGTGTACCAAATCTAGTTCCTATTGCAAATGCGTGATGTGAATATGTGATCGTTAAAACAATTTTTCAAGTTGCATAAAACGACGCAGAGTGAAAAATCTTTTTTTCTCGAAAAGTTTCTAACCTTATGTGTAAAAAAGGCTAAAAAGCTATTGAGGTATGAATCCGAAAGAACAATTATGTAACACTTCACTAACTTATTTTCCTAAAGCAAACGTGTGGCTATATGTTGGAGTAAGAAAATCTTTAATGTCGTATGCATGAAGAATATATAAACGTGATTAATATCTTCTTTTAGGCTCTTCTCTAATCTAAAGAAGTAAAAAGTTACCAAAGCTTGTATTAAGTTATACTAGACCAACTTTCCCAAACAAAATGTGTGCTCTTGACTGTGGCATAATCTTTCGTATACAAGCATGTTTTATTTGCTTGCACTATTCTAACCTACATGAATTATCAAAAGCTTGAATTCAACATGAAGCATTATGTTATACTATACATCTTTGATACCTATTTAATGTCCAAATGCAAACGTGTGCACTGAATGAATAACTAATCAATTGAATAATATGCATAAATGATGCATATAAGACTATCTCTTATAAACTATTTCAAGAGAGAGAGAGAGAGAGACATGCATAAGTAAACATATAGCAGCGTGCTAATGAAGACTAAGAACTGACCAAAGTGGGCACAGGCTTCTTCTGGCCTCCCACTCGCTGTCCATTGCTAGTGAACTCAGAGGACAAACTTGTGAGCACATCCAATGAAGGAGGCATGAGGTTCTTAAAGTCTGCACCCCAGTCTCCCTCTTCGTTGGTGGTTTCGATGTCCTCAAGAGGGAGATCGATATGATTGATGAGATCATCAAAGAAGTTATCAGTGAGACCCTTGAAGTCCTCTTCAGGTAACCACGAACCGTTATTCATTTGTCCACCCACTGTCCCCAAAAACCATAAAACCAAAACATACAAAACAAAACCAACAACATAAGCCACAAAACCAAACCAAGTTTACAAAATATCAATTTCATAGATATAAAAAAAGGTTTCAGCTTTCAATTCAATAATAATACTGACTTATAAGAACATTTTACAAATTCTATTTTTCCATTTCACAAATTGAGTGTCAACATGGTTTGGTTTGACTCAAATTGGGCAGTAAGAAAGCAGTTTCCTCAGAATATTATAAATGGCAAATTCCATTTTAAGCACAAAGATGAAAACTTTCATCATTTAATTTAAATTATTTGGTAAACCCATTTCGGGGACAGAAGATAATCAGAGAAACCAAGAGAACAGTCGTCTGTTTATTTCTCAATTTAAACACAAAAACAAGATAAAGGAACAAACTTTGTTGCATTAAACAATTTGTCTCAATGTTAAGAAAATAAAACATCTTCACCTGAAGAAGAAGAAGAAGAATGCAAGAGAGAAAACGGGAAAGTGAGAAAGACCCACGAACCTTTCAGATACAGGTGACTACACAGAACGCATTCCACAAGCGCGAGCCCGAGGAGAGAGATGGAGGAGAGAGAGAATCTAAAGTTGTCCGAAATTGGGGATTTAGGGATTACAGAACTGAACTGAAAGAGAGAGAAAAGAGAGAAGAATTAATATGCGGTCATGCATATAGAGCTTTCAGTGTATCTTCTTTATTACAAATCTTCTCTTTTTGGTAACTTGAATTTACTCTATTCTTTTTTTCTTCACTTTAATGAAATTTGTAGACCATTATTTTTTTTGTGAAAGTAAATAACTTCTATAAAAAAGAAAAATGATATAACTTCTGTACTTTTACACCTTGTAATTGGGACATATATTAATTGGAAAAGTTCAATTCAAACTCTACATTAAGCAAATAATTAAACTTTTTTCTTATATGAGAAAAAAATATTTTATATAACATATTTTCTGTAATATATAAAATGTATACAGCTCATATTATTATTTTTGTTGAGATTTTTTACCTATGGGGTAGATTCAATAATATTTGAAGACGTGTTTTTTAATTGGTCAAACCTCTAAAATACGTCCAAGTAATAATATAGAGTTATATTAAATAAAAATCTAAGAAACATAGATACAAAAGTTTAGCTGTAAATCTATTATATTAAAAGAAAAGTCATGACTCACTTCATGTATGATTTTTTAGATTGGACAATCCTTAGAAATTTTATAAAATTTTACAAAACATCATTATACTATCTTTTCATATCTTTAATTTTTATTTGAAATACAAATAAATAATATTAAGAAAATTCTAACAAAATATTTTAAAAATCTTATAGAATCTTTTCAAGATATAGTTTCAAAAATTACTTGATTAAAAATTTAATTATCATAGAATATAATTAAAATTTTAATTCATTTTTTATTTATAAACAAAAAATTTAAATTATGTAATATACTTTTAACAATATCCCAAAATTTTATTTATGTATTATGTAAGTCCATTTTAATTTACTTTTTATATATATTTCAAATTTAGAAATAAAACAAAATATATAAATTAGTAATGTTACATTAATGTTTTTTCAAATTGTTACAAAAATACAAATTTATAAATTTTAAATTAATATTATTATAAGCCACATAAATATTATTTATGATCATTGGATAGTATATACAATCAAATTATATTTATTTATTGATAAATTTTACTCCCTCCGTTTCTTAATATATGATGTTTTGGATCATTGCACAAAAATTAAGAAATTTACATTCTTTTACAAAAGTATTTTTAAATATATAATTTTATAATCATTCAACCAAATATTAAAAAGAATAAAATTTTATCGATTGAACAGTTTCTAATAAAGTTAAAGATCACTTTAAAACCTCAAATATAGAAACATCTTATATTTTGAAATAAAATAAATCTTTTAAAATATCATCTATTTAAAATGGAGTGAATATTATATAATTTCAAATATTTACGAATTAAAATACCCGCACGGTTGTGCGGGTCGAGATCTAGTTTTAGGCTTAATAAACAAGTTAGTCATAATATTTACTGACCTTATCAATAATTTGCAGGTCATGGAAAAAAATCTATTTTAAAAGAGATGAATCTTTTAAAATAAAAATATACTATTCTATTCTGATTTTACAGCTAAATATCCAAGGTTTATGATTGGGTTTATGATTTAAGATTTATAATTTTCTTAGTAAAATTTTAATTTGTTTATAATTAAAGGTATTAGATAAACTCATTAAAATCTGGAATTCATATACAATTTTAAAAATATTTTCATAATCAATAAATTTATGAAGTAGCTAGATGCATTTATATATTGTATATTTTTGTATCATAATTAGGACTAAAATTTTATTAGGCTTTGTTTGATCCTATTTTATTCTATATAATATAGTCTACCTTATAATATATAATTTATTTACATTAAAATTAAATTTCTTGTTGTTTTAATTAATAAGATAGTTTTTTCTCTATTTTAATTTATATTAGATTTATAGTCATTTTAGTGGACTTTAAATTTTATTTGTTTTGGATGTTTTATACGTATATATTAAATGACTTATTTTAAGATTCGTCAATATTTTGAATATATTTAAATTTAAACATTAATATTTTATTGTAAGAGATTATACTCCATTGGGTTGTATCAAAACTAGGTTAGCTGATTGTTCAATGAATTGATATTGGATATCATGTTGATTGACAATTGCAATTTATATAGCTAAAAAAATTACAAAAAGTTTGTAATTATACTACGTTTTGACAATCGATCATGTAACCATGTTTTGATAATAGATTATAAAGAAACCTTAACAAATTAGAAAGCCCTTGCAAACTTCTGCAACGTGGATAACTATAATTTTTAGTTAAGAGACTTCTTAGTTCCTAAACAGCACTACAAATAAAATAAATTGTATCTTTTTCTTTTGTCAACAAATAAATTGTATCAGTTTGAGATATAAATTATAATGCGAAGCTAGTCTCATATTAAATTTAGAATATGATTGTGTCGAGTAGTTAAGAGGAAAACTAAAATATCAAGCACATGAACGGCCCCACATGTCAAATCAAGACGACATGCCTTGAAGAAATATGGCATGTAGATCCGATCTGATACAATTATTTCTTATATTATTTCTAGATTCTTAAAATACACATATACATATACATATATATATATATATATATATATATATATATAAATTGTTAATTTGTAACTAGTACACCATCCTTGGTTAATTACAAAAAAATTAAAGATGATACGTCTTCAATATGAAATGGATAGATCACCGACGATTAAGAGAGGAGTACCGGAACTGAATGATTATGGAGTTTCCTCATGGGAAGGTGGGTCTCATCCTGCCTAGCTACCACATGACGGGTCTCTCTTAAATATCAAGATAAAATCATTTCTTTCCCCACAATTATAACATTACCAAAAATTTGCATGAGTCATTTTGACAAGTTTTTTTTTGTTGCATAACTATACTAATTACAATTCATGTAAGTGGATTAATCTATCTTAGACCTATAAAAACTTGTTGATTATTTGGTTAACATTTTGACATAGAAGCGAGTCACCTTGGATCGATTACCTTTTTTCCATGAGTTCTGTTTTAATAGATTAGATTGAAAATTTAATTTGTCTCTTTATACTTGAGCTATGAATTATTGTTTAAGTCATGTTACTTGGTTACTTTATCATCTCATCTTGACTGTGCTTAGATTAAGTGACGTCTTGCATTCTCGGCGCTTAGAGTCATCTTAGGTTGGATTGACCCCTCTTACTATTACACTTATATTGTTGTGATTGAAGCAGAGTGGTAGATAGTAAACTTATTCCATACCACTCATCTTGGGTAGTTACCAAGGAAGCATGAGTTGTTACCGGTGCCTTCCCTTCTCCCTTAATGAACCGTGACAAAGGACCGGATGTAACATTGGTGAGGTTAGGTATTGGTTTCTTGAGATTCCTTGGTTTAAGATAAGAAAAAATAATCAGTCACTTGTATTTGGTGTGACCTTTTTTTTTTGCAGTGATCAGACATCCATACTCTTATGTTGGTAGTCACAACATCTCTCATCCCACCGAAGAGTATGTGCTTCTTGCTATTTTTGAATCTATGCACATACCTCTTCAAGTGTTGGGAGCTTGTTTGATTTTAGGATGTGCTTACTCAGGTTGATATAAGTAGGACTAAGAGTCATTAGGAAGCCAACGACCTTGCCTTGCTCTTGTCTCTTATTAAGGACAACAAATCAACTAAGAGTGGCCTTAACATCTCAAGCTCAGCTCAGAAGGATCTGAACGTGCCAAAGTGTTGGATCAAACTCCATGTCTTCTTTTCTGAGATAATTGATGGCCTTTTTGACTTCAGAGATCCGACTAAAGTTAGAAGTATTCCCATAAATCTTTTTAAAAGTCTCCCAAAGCTCCTTTACGGCTTCACTACAGGAATAAACCTTGCTTATATGGAGTTTTGGATGATAGACACCACTTGTTGTTTATCTTGAAACCACTTGTCTTCAGCTGAAAAAAATAATTTGCATGCCATCTTGTTGGATTTTTTTGTTTTGTTTTGTTTTAAAGCTTCATCTTTAGTTACAAGGCTACATTAAACCATGTCCACCCAAAATTGTTTTGACCCTCCTAGACCATAACATGTAATTTACCTAATTAAAGGTGATTGGAACAACCACTTTCCTCGAGTTTACTATGTTCAAATCCAAAATAGAGAATGAAATAGGTTGAAGGCGGAAAAGATGACAATATTAAAATTTTTATTGCTGTAATAACATGTTAGAATATGAGATAACTTACTGAAGAATGATGAAAAGATTGAATAACAATGAGAATGTTAGACATAATATAAAGAAGAAAAAATATAGAACGAAACTTTATTTTATTATTATTATTATGTTGTTGAACACCATAAAAACCTAATTCTATTAATCTCTATAATTGTGGTTACAATAGTTTATAAAGTAGGTTTGACTTTCTAGATAAGTCAAACAGACTTAACTTACAAACTAAACAAATATAATATATATATGTTTTTATTGATCATCTGTGTTTACTATTCACTTAGTAGTTTCTTCACTTTATAACAACATGAAGCCATGAACATCCTAAGGAATGCAAAAATACTGAGGTGATCAAAGAAACATACATTTCTTGTGACTTCACTTTTTTTTTTTTGTTGTGAATAAACACAAATCAAACTCGAATAAAGCAAAATAGAGCAAAATGAATTGAGCCAAATACCCATTTATGGTTTGTATATGTTTATGTGAATGAAATAACATTACAATCCCTTAGATTTATATTTATAGCAACCTCAAAACCCGATTTGTTTTCCTTATAGGAATACATATTTATCTAGAAAAATAAATGTTCCTAAATCGAAAAGGCATTCTGTACCGCGGGGCCTACGGCCCCCGCACCTCCCAGATATCAATTTTGATAGCGGCTACGATGCTTGCATTCGACCGAAATACATCCGACCCAACGAATGCTGAATTTTTACTGGTGAAAAGAGATTTAAGGGTATGTACATCAAAGGTACATGGTGGGAGTTCACCCACTTCCCAAGAAAAAAAAAGGTTAAAATATTGCAAAAGCTATGAACTGATATTGTTGAGTCTCTCTGCGGTGAACCTGTATCACCACTATTATGTGGACTCCATGACACGTGACGGCCCATGATTATTTCAAATTTTTTTTATAAATCAAATAGAAAAAATAAAAATAAAATATATGTTTGTGAACCTCAACCATGAGGTTCATTAATGTACCTGCTCTAAGATACATCCAGATGCAATATTTTTGTATATAACAAAGTTTGTTGTTAGTTTGGTGTCTTTGATCCAGAATTGCAGAGAACAATAGAAGCAAAACAAAATGATTAGACTTTGGCCATGAAGGCATTAGATATAATAAATCCTTGGTTTGCATGTTTTGTTGATCAAACAATCCACCGTGGTAATAACGATATCAAATATTAGAGCACGTTGTAAATTTTGGAGAAGTCATTCTTGGCGAGAGTATATAGAAACAAGAAAAAGAAAGCCTACACATGTATAATTTTCACATTATTTATGAATTTACCAAAATCAAGGCCTGGTTATTACAAATGTATTAGCTACACATACACATCATGTGAGCTTTATTAATTAATTATAATAAAAATAAAACAAACAATACATATATAAAGTAGAGTAATTATCAGATTCAATAGGTTGGATGCACATAACTGATTTAAATATATTGATTCTTCTTATTGTTTGATTATGAACTTAGAAAACCATTTGCCAGAAGCTTTTTCCCTTCGATCCGCAGGATTAGTGAAATTGACCCAATTCATACCAAATCGGAGAGTGTAACCATTTCCGAATTCGTAGTTGTCCATCAAAGACCAAGCAAAATACCCTGCTACGTTGCATCCATCACTGTAATATGTTTGAAATAATGTTAACACTTATAATTCTCAAAACTATGACAAATAAATTAAGTATGAATCATTATAACTCACTCGATTGAGCATTTGAGACATGAAAGATGGCTGCAATGATTTTGAATTCGTCCATTATCGGCAAGAGCATCTGGCAGCGTTAAGTTTCCGGTATCAAGATCAGCAACTCCTGAAAATTTAACACAAAATTTTAACAAGATATATAAAACGATTTCATTGATGAACGATATTTGTATTGCTATGACGATATGTTAGTACCGTTTTCAGTGATATAGGTAAGTGGATTTCCGTATTTGTTTTTGATATAATTTAAAATCTGACGGAACCCTGGAGGGTAGTAGACGAAGCTAGGTGCCTGCACAAGAAGGAACACAAAAAAAGAAAGAATTAAAGGAAATTCAAACAAATGCTATGATCTCTTTAAAATAATGATGATTCTAAATCAATATCGATGATAACCTGAACACCAATAGGTACTCCGTTGCGATAAACTGTAGGTAAGTAGAGAAAATTTTATGAGTTTAGCATAGTCACACACATAATAATAAAATATATTATAATATACGAAGCAAAAATTCTTTTACATACATCCAAGAGTAACTCTTGGATCGGTTAGGACGTTAGGTTGTGTGGAAGGAGGTGCGTTGGTCGCATATTGTGTAACGTAATAGTTCAACCCTAGAAAATCAAGTGATCCTTTGACTAACTTTGATTCTTGAGGTGTGAATTTTGGCAATCTTTTTCCAACCATCTGTCGCATTATCTTTGGGTATCTCCCATAGACCAATGGATCTAAAAACCTTCATATATATATATAGAACAAAAATGACGAATTAAATACTGCAAGTATATTTGTCACATTTCAAAGCTTTATAACCAAAGCTTTATATATATATATATATATATATGTATGTGTGTGTGTTCGTGTATATTCATGAGATGTGGGAGTCAATTAATTGACAGAGATATATACCATCCTACGAAGAAATCAAATGCTCGCTTTGCAGCAGCCTTGTCAAGAATGCTATTTTCGTTTAATGGGGTGAACCATCTCCCGATCAAGGTGGTTCCTATCTTACCACCTTGAAATTTCTGCATGATATTTTTGGATTATAAGATACATAAAACAAATAAAAATAATCTTTGAAGAAAAGAATCATGACATATTTGGTAAGTATATGAACCTGATATCTTTTTCGGTATAATGCGACAACTTTTGCATGAGCTAGAAGTTGGTTATGTGCAACTATATAAGGTTCGGTTCCAGAATCTCCTCCAAATTCACAGCCAGTGCACCGTCCTGGAGGATACGATCCATCTCCATAACCTTTGCTTGCGAGAGAGTAAGGTTGGTTTAAAGTGATCCAAAATTTCACTCTGTCTCCGAATCTCTGGAATAGAAGCTCAGCGTAGTTTTTGTAGTCATCTCTGCTCATGTACCATATATTTATTAGATAAAACTAGATCTGATGTGAGGTACATAAGTAACATAACCTAAGACAAACAAAAAAGGTGTAGTTTAAAATTTATTTTATGCACTTACAGTATACGCCGGCTCAAGAAACCTCCATACTCATCTTCTAGAGTTTGGGGAACATCCCAGTGGAATATTGTTACGTACGGTTCTATGCCTTTATTCACACACATAAAAATTGATACATCGGACAATTAAAACTTGCTCATATATGTATTATTAAGAATACAAATTTATATATATATATATATATTTACCATTTGCTTTCAACTCATTGATGAGGTTATTGTAGTATTTTATCCCGTTTTCGTCAATCCCTCCAATCAATCTCCCCTCTAAAGGTAAGCATAAATACAATCATAGCATTAGTTAATAATAATAATAATAATAATAATTCGTTCTTATCATCCGCACTTACTTGGTAAGACCCTTGACCATGCTATTGAGAATCGGTAGGCTTGAGCCTTCATTCTTTTCAGTAATTTAACATCCTCCTGTTATATGAGAGTTCCAAAGTTAAATTACATTTCTGAAATGGAACAAACAAACAAGCATACACACATTCATCATTGATAGCCTCTCACCTTGTAAAGATCATACGAATCACAAGCAAGGTCTCCGGAACTGTGATCTGGAACTTTCTCTGTACATATAGGCAAACCGAAATATGAGCATGACCTGAACATCTATGAGTGAAATAGTCCCATCCGTTGTTTGTACACTTAATTTCCCATACGGGTAAATTTTCAATGAAAGATTTTTATGACCTGGATATCTATGAGTGTAATAGTCCCATCCGTTAAGTGCTCTATGTGCTGCACCTTCAATCTGGTAAAGAATATTATAAATCATGCCAGCAGGGTTATCTATCGATGACAATAATCTTAATAGATCGCTATATTTTTTTTTTTGTAAAAGATCAGTAACAATGAGATATGTACCTGGTAGGCAGAAGTAGCCGCACCAAAAGTGAATTTTTTTGGAAAACTAGTTCGGTTGAATGTAAGGGGATTGTCGCAGTTGAAGGGTTCTTTAGCCTTACAGGCCGGGTTGCAAACCTTTTGGCTACTTGAAAGCGCAAAGAGAATGACAAGAATGGCCAAACAGAAGTGAGCTTTTGGAATTTTCATGGTTGAGAGCATTGTATGGTTTGCTATCCTTAGTTCTTAGTTGTTTTAATTTGCTTTTTGTTGATGGGTAATTTGATGATGATGACTATATAATGAAATTGGAAGGGTTTATATAGAAAAGTTTGCGTGCATGAGAATTTGCATGGGGTTTGAAGTAAACTCGTTACGTACGAATATTTGAAATGATATTTACCCTCCACCTCCACGTTCTCCACCTCACGACTTGCTGTCTCTTTTCTGAAGTAAAATTTACATCATATTATCGCAACTATTTTTCCAATTTTATATACTGTTATCAAGCAAGGATTGACTTGTTAATACAAGAAAATTGATTCATTACGAATAAACAGATAACCATGTTGAGTTTACGGCATCATATTCCTCTTGCTTAAATATGTACAGTAGTGTCAAATACGTATATAGTTAGTTTAAAACAAAAATACGTATGTAGTTTCACACACTATATATACCTGCACATGTCTTTTCTTTTAGAAAGGGTTTTATACCTGCACATGTCTGAATTTGAGAATATATATGCTAATTAATGTTCATTAGTTAATTCTTATGCGTTTAATTTAATGTGACAATTTATATAATTATATTAGGCCTAATTATGCATTTTGGTTTATAATAAACTTAAGAAGTTAGTAATAGACCTGGGCATTTTACTCGGACCCAAAGACCCGAACCGGAACCGACACGAAAATACCCGACCCGAACCCGACCCGAACCCGACCCGAAAATTTACAAGTACCTATTGGGTCTAAATTTCTTTTATCCGAATAGACCCGGACCCGAAAAGAACCGACGCGAATAGACTGGACCCGAAAAGAACCGACTCGAATAGACCCGACCCGATAAGAACCGATTTGTACCCGACTTATAAACATGTATATCCAAAACTATTATTTTTGGGTTATGTTTTATATATCTATACTATTTTATAAGTTAGTTGAAATATCTTTTCTTAACAATATTTATTATTATTTGTAACATTTTTAAGTAATATAAAGTTTTAAAATGTAAAATTTAGAGTTTAAAAATGTTTTCTTTAATTATCAATAGTTTAATTTAAGTTATTTTATAAAATTTTAGATATATATGAAAAATATTGATTGAATTGGAGTGAATTTGGACATGTTATTTGTTTTTTAGATTCTAAATACCCGGACCCGATCCGTACCCGATATGGATCCAAAAATTACGGGTATTTTACAGGTATTGGAATTATAGACCCAACAAGACTCGACCCGAAACCGACCCGAAAAATTATAGGTACCCATATGGATCTAAATTTCCAAGACCCAAAAGACTCGGATCCGACAGAACCCGATCCGAGGATCCGGATGCCCATGCCTAGTTAGTAAATTTGGTTAACTTTTCTTTCGAAACACATTCTCCTTCAGCTTATTGTTTAATTTAAGTGTTCGTGTAAATTAAGACTTGTATCATTTAAATGCATTCAATATTATATTAGGAAACTAATTAAAGCCAAAATTTAAGAATTCAAAGGAACCTAGAACTGTGATAATGATATTGATTATTTTCTACAAATCCTTGACATTGATTCATATCAACCCTACCTCCTTCTTTTGTTCAAAAGACATAATCTCTTTCTTACCTTATTTATGATCACTTAAACTATTCTTTTTCTTTAAATTACAAACATTTAATAATCACCAAGTTTTCCATATTTTTATTTAAATTACAGTGTCCCCACAATCCAAACATAACATTGAAAATTATGATCCTAAACTAAACTATATATTCACATATCTTCGCGTAGCACGAAAAAAGACACTAATTTGTATTTAATAGATCATATCATATCCTACACGAGAACGATATACCCAATATAATTTATATATTTTATTATACTCTTTTCTAAACATGTCTTATTAATCTCATATCAATACAAGACTCATTTCACCCAATATAAAAAAAGATCGTTATATCCACCAACTATACTTTATACTCTTCTCTAAATATATCTCATTAATCTCATATCAATGCAAAGACTCATTTCACCCAATATAAAAAACAATAGCAATCGTTATATCCAGCAACTATGTAAGCAGTAGCAGAGCCAGAATCTTTTTCTACCGGGGTCAGAAATATGTATAAGATAATTGTTTACCATTAGCAAAAATACTTATATGAATATAGCTTGTAACTTAAAATATTTTTATAAGGTTACTGTTATATGTTTAAGTATATTTCAAACCAATAAAAAACAATTTTATAATATGATTTTCATAATATACATTTTCAAATTTTGATATTTGTTTTTATGTTATAATAGAAATTAGTTAATAATTATAGACATACAAAATTATGAACTATATATCACTGTATTTAAATGGCTTGAAAATAACAGTGAGCCCAAAATCAATTTAAAAACGAAGCCCAAATGTCTAATTAGCTAACTAATCAAGCTATGTATAATGTTTGTCCATTTTTTTTATAAGGTCAAACAAATATACTTATTAAAAGAAAAACAAGTATATTGGGGCCAAAAAAACATTCAGTTTAAGAAAAACATACATTAAAAAAAACAAGTGGGGTCAGCTGACCCTTTCTTGCTGTTCAGCTCCACCCATGTACGTAAACAGTAGAATACATCATTTCTATACTTCTGTCTTAAATTATGAAAAACCTCCTCATTATCTCATTTTATAAATCTCAGATAAATTTATTATCTTCACATTTCATGTTTAATTTATGTTAGATATAATCGTGATCATTTTAATGTCACGGATTTATTTCATTGGAATAGCTATGAAAAATATAGTCGCTACAAGAATCCAAACTATTTGATATCAACCTTCAAACATTGAATTGTATTGGTAAATTTTCTTGAATTCTATTTTCAATTTAATATTAGTATGACATAAAAAACAAATAAACAGGAACCAATGTTTATTTATCAAATATTTATATTTTTATCTAATATATATTTTACATTTAAATATTTGCTATAGAACATGTCATTCAAAAAGTTGTTGCAAAATCAACTAATAAGATATCTTCTTTCATAATTTCATGTATTTAATATTTATAGTGAAATCTGTCATCCCAAATTCTGGTATAATCTAGTCACAAAATATCCTTGTTTACTTTTACCAACAAGATATTCCAAAAATAATATTACCTTATATCTATAATATTTTTGAAAATTTATTAAAGAATATTTTATCTCAAACTTTCTCATGAAAGCTATGTCGTTTAGAAACATTTATCAATTTACTATATATAAGACATTAACAACAGAGAAATTAAGTCACTAGAATTTTATGATGTTATTTGTTCTGCTTTGGATTTAGTAAATTAATTTTATTTAAGAATGTTAAAACTTTATATATATACCATAATTTTTTTTGTTTTTGATTCTGATTTTGGTTTATGTGCAGATGATCTATCATAATGATTACTCTTTTGAAACCACATATGATTTGATCATTCTTCATTTTCTTTTATTTTCTGTCTTTAACAGTTGTTTTTTTTTTATTAATCTGAGATTAATTCATTATCTTCATATTTCATATTTATTTACCAGGTTAGATATGAGACAGTTGGCTTAATGTAAATCATTATCTTAGCAAATTTATAAGATTCGATTACAAAAATATATCAGGAACTTTCTAATTATTTAGTGATGTTCCTAAGAATATTTTAAATTTATTTTGTTAATCAGTAAAATAATTGTTAAATATTAAAACCACATTTTAAAAGTATAGAAATCTATATTGAAATGAATATCTTTGTTGTTTTATAAACTAACTTTCACAAATCATAAACGTAGTAGGTTATATCATACAAAAACACGTAATCCGTTAACTATCAATTTTTTATAGACTTTAAAAAGAAAATAAGATACGCACTTTGAAATATATATATGATGTCAAGTAAAGTTTAAATGATTTGAAATACATTTTGTGAAATATATTTGTGATAAAAATATTAAACTTTTACCCACTAATTTAAATAGGGCGGGTTCAAGTATAATTTTTCTCACTTGCGTGTCAAATTTTTGTATCAAAAAATGATTCAATTCACAGCGGAGCTGGTCGACCCGCAAATCCAGCAATAATTTATATTATGTTACGTATAAAATACTATTAATTATATGATGACACATATATGATATATAATACTGATATAAAAAATAAATAGCAATCTATTTTTGAAAAAAATACATCTGCGCGGATGCACGGATCAAAATCTAATGGGTATATTACAAAATATGATATCTGATCATCAAATTCCATCTAAGAAAATTAAGTTGCCAAAAGAAAAGGGATTACTGAATTTTCTGAACTAAATTTGCCAAAAGAAAAACTACTTTTATTTCGAAAACAAGACCGGAACAGATAAACACAACTACTATGAGTTGCCACTGACGAGAAGTCCAAAGACTCCTGAAGACCCCACAAAATTATAAAATAAATAAATAAAACGGGTCTTAAAGGATAGATTGAACGGTAGAGATTCATCTAATTTTCTCATCTTAATTTGCATAATATAAATACAAAATCCCTAAAAAATGGCGCAAAGAAAAACCTACTCAGCCTCTCTCTCTCTGGACCCAGGTACTCATTCTTTCTTCTTCCTTTCCTCTCTCTCAGCTCTTACTGTCTCTGCAAGAGATTCGACAGTAATTAGATTTGATTTCTGTCCTTTTTTGTTTTATTCGTAATTAATTTTTTTTATTATGCTTTTTCTTCTGCTCTTAGATATTTCGTGATTCCAATGGACCAAGAAGGAGATCCATGTGAAGTAAAGAAAGCTTCTTTAAAGCCTACGACTCCAACCGCTGAAGACCCCAATTCCATTTCTCCACTTGGTTCCGACCAATCTCTGTCTGAAGAGGAACTCTTAACCGATGAAGAAATCATCGAGTCTATCTATCAGAATCTCTTTCAAGCCATTCTCGTACTGCGACTACAACAGTGCAGCGCTGAGACTTGGTGTGATGAGGATTGCCAAACGCCTCCTCCTTCGCGGGTTACCGAAATGGTTTCGGATACTTGCCCCGGAGCTCCGGTGCAGTCCACTAAGACATGGAGGAACGATGGTTCTGGACGGGCTAAGAGGCTCTTCTTCTGATCTGACATTAATTTGAATCTGACTGATTGTAAGAAGCATATTGTTAGGTACAACTTACAAGAGCTTTTAGGGATTGTATTAACTCTTGCTTTGACTTATGTTTGTACCAGTTGGTTTGTACAGGACTTGCTAGCTAAGCTTGTTGTGTTGGAGACATTCAGTTTCTGATTTATAAAGAATAAACATAAGTGTTCTTTTTCGTTTGTGGATTCTGTTTTATGTAGATTGTGTTTTTTTTCATCAGAGTTCCATCTTTACCCCTTTTTTTCTTTTTTTAATAGATATGCATCTGTTAAGTGTGTCAGAGCTTTATGGAGACGTACAACAGAAACAAAAGGGATTTTCCCTTCAAAAATCTGAAACTGCAATGATTGCAACTCTCAATACAAATCTCTTGTCAAATGATCTTTATTGTAGGAAATTGCAGTGCAAGGATCAACAGGCTTGCACATATTTTGCATCTGGATGATGCTAAATGAATCATAACAAACAATGGAATAAACCAAAAGTAGTAGAGTCCACCAAGTTGGGACAATCAAATGGACAACGATAGATACAAGCGCTATGTCTATACAAAGAATTTCGGCAGACTATACAACCAAGAACTTTATAAATCTGAGTTTTCTTTGAAGTGAATATACTTCACCAAGAGCATCTCCAAAAAATCTCCATATTTTAAAGTTTACAAAATGTTATATTTGAAGTTTAAAGGTATTTTTCTCAAACATCAAAACTTTAAATTTAATTCCAAATTATTTGTATTTTATACTATGATCTTTATATTTATCATAATTAATTTGAATTCATAAAACTTATAAAAACTAGCACATATATAAAAATATTACAGAAATATAGTTAATAAAATGTTACACTAAAATATAAAATTATAATAGAAATACAAGACTAAATATTAAACTACAAACAAAATATCACATTAAATCTTGTAATATTGTTGTTCTCTAATTTTAGTTTTAAAATATTTTAAATATTGTAGTTTTTTAAAAAATTTATGTGCAAAATTAAAATTTATAAAAGTAGTTTTGAAATATTTATGAGATAAGAATTTGAAAGATTAAAATGATAAACGTCAATATATTTAACAAGCATAAGTGTGATATGTAATTGTAAGGACTACAATAAAATAAAATATGAAATTTTAAATTTGAAATTTTGATAAAAATAATTCTATTTTGAAGTCTTAAATTTTGAAATGTTAGAATTCCTTTTTAGAAAGCAATAGACGAATGTTTTTGGAGAAATAGTTTACATGTACCAAGAATGACGTTTCGATCATGAGTTTGTTGAGGTAACAAAAAACAAGACTCACCACTCCTCTCTCGAAGTTTTAGAGTTACTTTTTAGAAATTAAAAAACAATGTGTTTTTGGAGAAATGATTTACCTGTATCAAGAATGCCGTTTCATTGTTGAGGTAACGAAGAACAAGACTCGCCACTCCTCTTGACTCAATATCAACGCCCAACTGAAAATAACAAAGGACGTGTGTAACAAAATACTATTGCTTCCTATTAGGATCTTGCATCTATATTAAATAACTAATCAACAGTTTTAGAAAATTTTACAAAATGACAAATTTATTAAATAAAACTACATACTAGTGTTGTAAAAAAACTACTTACTAGACTTTTAACATATATTTATGTATTTGGTTTCAAAATATGCAATATAATAATAATTTGTTATATTCGGATATCTGTTTAGATCTCAATTCGATTCTAACTGGTTATTTTTGATATAAAAATATATAAAATGTTCAGATATTTAAATATTTTGGTTTTGTTCTACTTGTAAATAATTGATTTGATTTCAGATGGGTTTTTGATTTTTTTTTTTGTCTTTTTTTAATTTATACGTTTAAATTCAAAATTAATACTCCACTGTATATAAATTTTTGACATTTTATTTTTTATATATAAAAATTGATGTTATATTTTTGATTAATACATTTTACTTTAAAATTAAAATAAAATGCAAGTGGTTGCATTTTATTTGGAAATAAATAAATATTAAAGTAATAAAATATATAATAATAATTAAAATAATATTTAATTTTTAATATGTGTACATAACAGTAAATATTATACATTTGTATCCTGGGGGTAATTTATAAGGCTGTTCGGGCGGTGGGTTTTAAGAAAAACACACGCAAATGCAACTACTATGAGTTGCCACTGGCGAGAAGTCCAAAGACTCCTAAACACCCCAAAAAGTTAAAAAATCAAACGGGTGTTAAATAAAAGCCGTCAGATCTAACAATATTTAAACAAAAGAGGTCCCATTTCTTAAATCGAACGGTAGAGATTCATCTCTTTTGTCTCATCTCAATTTGCATAGTATAAATTAAAGAAATGAGGCAAACAAAGACCTAACTTTGCCACTATTATATTTTCACTGTAAGAGATCACCAACGGTGTTATCCCCTTGAAATCTTTAAAAAACCACTTTTTTAATTTTTTAATTATTTTTTTTTTTCAGATTAAAAAAAATATTAATAAATTACAGATCGTCACGTATCGTCGAGATACGTAAATAGTCTAAAAATTCGCTAAGAAACAATATTTATTTAAATATTTTAAAATTTAAAGCTTTAATTTTTGTGGAATCTATTAATTATTTAATTATTTTTTCTTAAAAACTTCTTTTTAAGAAGATGCTCTCAGATACCCTCTTTCTGGAGATGCTCTCAGATACCCTCTTTCTTCTGTACAATCCTTAATTCATAGTTTTTTTTTGTACAAAAAGCGTTAAACTCGGATCTTTGAAGATACAAACCCAAACCCCGGTGAAAATACAACTCACAGATAGATCTTCTCCTAGGCATTCAAATGGATCGAAAACAATAATTTATATCCGTATGGATTTGAATCTAAATTTACTTTATTAGGTTTATTCTCTCAAGCGCCACTGGACTACCGTCACGAATTGTAAATATAGTTTGATTTCTGTCCTTTTTTGTTTTATGCGTAATTAATTTTCATTTATTATAACAAATTTTATGTTGTTTTTATTCAATTATTTGGTGTATGTTGTAAATATAAATGAATTTTATATATAAAATAAAATAAGATTAATTTATTTATCAATGTTGAAAAAATAAAGTGAAACTTCAATATATATAAAAAACAAACTATGTAAGATATTGATTATTTATCTATAACTTTATAAAGTTATTAATTTATATTGGGATCATCTATTTATATAAACATTTCAAAATTTTATTATTTTAGTATTTTATTAAATTATGTTATATTTTTTATTAATTTATAGTATCTATAGAGTATTAATTTATAAATTATTAATTATAATTTTCTACCGTAATTTTATAGGATGTTCGGACGGTGGGTTTCAAGACAATAAACAAGCAAGCGCAACTACTATGAGTTGCGGGCGAGAAGTCCAAAGACTCCTGAAGACCCCACAAAAGTTAAAAAACCAAACGGGTGTTAACCGTTCGATTTTAAAATATTAAAACAAAATAGGCCCCATTCTAAATATCGAACGGTAGAGATTCATCTCTTTCTCTCATCTCAATTTGCATAATAATATAAATACAAAAGATCCCTAAAAATGGCGCAAACCAAAGCCTAAAACTCAGCCACTCTCAGACTCTCTCTCTCAGCCTCTCAGGTACCCTCTTACTTCTAAGTTCTATGCAACCCTAAATCCATCGTTTCTTCAAGAGATTCGACAGTAATTAGATTTGATTTCTGTCCTTTTTTTTGTTTTATTCGTAATTAATTTTTATTTATTATGCCTTTTGTTCTGCTTCTAGATCTCGTGAATCCAATGGACCAAGAAGGAGATCCATGTGAAGTAAAGAAGGCTTCTTTAGAGCCTAAAGCTCCAACCGCTGATGACCCAGATTCCATTTCTCCATTTGGTTCAGACCCTTCTCTGTCTGAAGAGGAACTGATAACCACACTGTCTCCACTGTTATCCGATGAAGAAATCATCGAGTCTATCTATCAGAGTCTCTTGCTAATCATTCTCTCATTGCAGCTACAACAGGGGAGTGGTGAGATTTGGTGTTTTGATGGTTGCAAGACACCTCCTTCGCGGGTTGCAGAAACGGCTCCGGATACTTGTCCCGGAGCTCCAATGAAGCTCGCTAAGATATCAAGGACCATTGATTCTGGACTGAGAAGGAAGCTCTTCTGAATCTGACATCAATTTGAATCTGACTGATGAATTGTTGTTGTTGTTGTGACATATTGTTAGCTTTAGCTGTAAGAGCTTCTAGGGATTGTAATAACTCTTTTTTAGCTTCTTGCTTTGACTTATGTTTGTACAGTCTTCTTAGGCTTTTATGAGGACTTACTAGCTAAGCTTGTTGTTGTTGTTGGAGACATTCATTTCTATCTTTGAGAGAGATAAAAAAATCAAAACTTTCTCTTCTTTCTTGTGGGTTTTGTTTTATGTTTCCTAAAAACTTGTTGCAGTGAAGAATCTGGAATAAAGTTTCCATCTTTCCCCTTTTTTCTTATAGATATGTATTTTGTTAAGTGTGTCAGAACTTTATCTGCAAAGGGGAAGTACAACAGAAACAAAAAGGGTCTGAAAATGAAATGATTGCAACTCTCAATATGAATCTGCTGTGAAAAGATCTTTACTGTAGCAAATTGCAGTGCAAGGATCAACAAGCTTGCACATATTTTGTATTTTTGGGTGATGCTAAATGAATCATAACAAACAATAGAATAAACCAATAGTTTTAGAATCCACCAAGTTGGGACAATCACATGGACAAGGATAGATACAAGCGCTATGTCTATACAAAGAACTTCGGCACAGTACCACCAAGAACTTTATAAAATCTGAGTTGCATAAGCACATAACCAAATAACCTATTGTGCATATGACTTTCAATGGATTTCAAAGAATGTTTGATCTGAAACACTTTTTGATCATGCTAGGAGGACTATGGAACAACGGGAACTGCTTTTGATGCGTCTAGATGGTTTAACCGACAGGTTCCAAGAAGATATTCCGGGAGCTCCTCTTCGGTATTTGCCTACACAATGAAAAGTGAATATGCTTCACTATGTTGAACCAGAGTAATAACATCACAACTGGAAACTGGTTTACCTGAACCAAGAATGCCATTTCAATCACGAGTTTGTTGAGGTAACCAAGAACAAGACTCACAACTCCTCTTGCAACTGTTGATGACCCAATATCAACGCCCAGCTGAAAATAGCAAAACACCTGTGTAAGAAAATACTATTTCTATCTCCTATTATGATCTCACATCTATCCCTATTATGCTATGTTACCTCAATGTAGTTCTTTCCCCTGAAGTAATTGATCTCCAGAGCTTGACCAACAAGGCATGCTTTCTTTCCCACACTCTGCTTAACTATCCAAGAGCCCTAATCCATTTCACAAAACCCAAATGAATAAATTTGACAAGAAAGAACAAAAACATCTTAAACGAGGTCTTAATCTTTTACACCAACCTTGGATATGTAAGGAATGAGCTTGAACCGTGAATTCCTATATGCATCATCGCCATTAACAAAGCTAACTAGCAAAGGATGCTCTTCAATAGGAGTGCTCATCATGTAATAAAGCACAAGGCTGTACGTTGTTGATCCTGGAACCTATTATGTCATTGAACAACTAATCGATGATCTTACCGAACAAAAGGAAATACTGCATAGAAACACTTTTGGTCGCAGGAGTGTCCTCTTACCTGTATATTCACGATGAAAAAGAACTCTGGTCCACCTTTTGCTGCATATTTCTGCATTTACGAACTTGTAAGCTTCTAATATTAAGAGGGAAAGGAAATCTATCAGAAGTTCAATAATATAATTAGAACCTGAACTATGCCACCAGGACGAGAGCCCAAATCATCCTCCCGCTTGTCAGACTTTAGCCAGTCTGCAGCCACCATTTGCATCAGTGTACCCTTTGCCGTGACCTGGATCCACCAGAAGAGAATGCTTATAAGATACGAAAAAGCATCCAAGACAACCAAAGTTATTTGTTTATATTTACTTTCTTCTGGTCTGAAAGATAAGTCTTTCCTCGAATGAGAAAAGTAGAAGGATCAGTTGTTGTCCAACTACAAGGCAAAGCACAAGTAGGATCAGTCGGAAGCGTGGTTCCATAACAGCAAGGCGTGCTGCTACTCTCTTCCCTCGCCCTCTCATGCAGATCAACATAACCCCTCTTTTGAACTGCTCGAAGATAAAAAATAAATTATAACCTCAGACAAGGAGAAAACAAACTAAAGGACAGGACTAATAAGAGCACATCTCATCAATGAAACTTAAGATCACCTGCAAGATCGTGTATTTTTCGCACTAGACTCGAAGCGCTGTTTAGTTTTGGCTGGCGGGTGTCCTGCAACGGCCAAGAGAAAATCATTATTGTTAACTTGCAAGCAAATTTAAAGTAATGTCTGATGTTGATACTACCTGAGAGTATGAATCCGAGTCAAAATCTGAGGCCCAGTTGTCCTCCAAGTGGTCATTATCTGATGGTTCTGGAACGTCGAAAAACTCATCCACTCCATCGTTCAAGTCCACAAGGCTGGAGCGCTCTGAGGGAAATTTATCTTTCTCTTCATTAGTGGGGTCCTTGTACATTTCGCATTCTGTCAGAGAAGATTCACCAAAGCCACTCTCCTCGTTTTGATTCAGTCTTGTACTTCTTGACAACTCCCCTGATGAAGGAAAGCTTCCATGTTTTGCTCTAAACAGCTCTCTAAGGGCTGATTCAATCAACAAGAGGATGTTATGATACAAAAGAAACGAGCTAAGTCTTAAGATAATTTAGAATTAGCAACTACCAGAAATTCTTCCAAGCATTTTCACAGTAATAGATCTAGCTAGAGATGGTTTCACATAAGATCTCCAGGACTTCCAATCAACAGCAAGCATGTGCTTCACAACTGACTGTTTTCCGTTGTCTATTGGAGAAATCACATAACCGCCACCTGTGATACAAGAGGACAATGTCAGTCCAAAACTACTGCTGTAAACGGAAGTTTAACAAAAGAGATCAAGGGTTGCAAAGAAAAAAAATAAAGATCAATATGCCTTAGCTTAAACCGAAGACATAAACTGAAACAAAAGCAGTCTTTTGTTTAAAAATTTAGATCAAAACTATATATACTCTATTTAAAGCTACACTCTAAGTAATCATAAAAGCGTATAGAATTAATTAAGCCAAACACCAAGGTAGATGCAGAAACCTTAGGCGGCAGAGATGTCAGATATAAATGACACTACATGGCTAATGAGTATTATCAACAATCATGTAAGGAAATGCAAAAAAAAACTAACTTCATTATAATAAACTAGGCGTACATTACTTTTAAGGCACGCACGGATATAGCCTTTCTGAGGCGGACACTTCTTGTGAAATACAGAATGATAGAGAATAACTGCGACAAAATGAACAAAGGAGGACAAACAGTTTAGTTATATGGAACATCATGCAGAGTCAAACAAACAGTTATGTATATTGAGTGTTGACAAACCATATGTCCCATCATCTTCTCTTCTCCAATAACGCCGCAGCGAAAAGTCTCTTCTTTTCATCCCCCAAGGTAACCAATCGCTGTATAGCTGTTTGTGAATTATATCGGTGTGACCATCAAGATGTTCAATCACACTGCCTTGGTAAAAACAGAAATCCCATCTGCAAAGTTCTGAGCATTTAGTTTAGATGTTCTATGAACTTTCACATCTTACGGCTTGCTTGTTTGCAGAGTGGTACTAGTATTACTTACTCTGATCTTGAGGGTCCAAGTGAAAGAAGCGTCTGGAAAATGTTTTCAGAGGTTCCATCAACAACCCCAACAGCCATGATAGCCGGATGATCATCCCACTGTGAAGTTAAGCGAAGAAATGATCAAAACATTATTTCTACTGCACAGAAAATTTTCAACTGATTAAGACTAAAGAAGATACTGACCCTTCCAAGAGAATCTCTCTCTTTTGCCTCTTTAAAAAGGCGAAGACCTGCATGCAGCAAATGGTAAAACTAGTTATATTCCAGCAACACACAAGAAAAGCAATAACAATTGCGTGTACAACATACCATTCTGACAACCGAATATTGTCCATGGAGAAGGCGCAACAACATCAGTAGTGGTAACAGGATCCACTCTTGCAGACGACCGAAGTGTCCAGTCAATAGAATTTGAGTGATAGTCCCGAACTGAGCTACTCAGTCTGATTCGAGAACATAAATGTCTTTTGTTAATAACAAGTTATAAGGAGTTAGGAACAACACTTGCTTTTAACAATTAGCCTAGAGATAAATTCCATGGACTATAGTATATAGTTGAAAACAAGTACCTCAGAGAATCCCATCGGCTCCTGGAACAACTAAAAACATCTCCTGGATTAGAGGAACCCTGCATTAAACACATAACAATAAAGTCTCTCTCCTTCCCATAGAGACTAGTTTGTTACTAAAATGACATATGTATAAACCTTTAAAGCTTCCTCTTTAATCAAATTGATCCACCTAGCTGCATCCTCAGGACTGCTTGCTCCTAACTTCATATCAAAGAAAGCTTTACATATAAAAAGAGATTTTTGGGAACAAAAAAAGAAGAAATTTTCATCACAACAAGTTTTCATTATCTTACCTTCAGTTGATCATTGTGATTAGAAGTATTGTACAGTGTAAAAATGAAGAATGCCTACAAAAGAGTGACAAAAACCATTTATAACAAAAGAATTAAAAAAAAAAGAGTAGAAATAGATGATGACATACTTTTCTATGAACACTTTCCCTTCCATTGTCAGTAACACGGATACACGAATCTATCACCGCACTTCTTCCACCATCCTGTCACAAAAAAAAAAAAAAACACAACTTTAAAGTATCAAAAAAAATGATGGGCAAGTAAATTAAATTAAAAACAAAAAAAAGAGAACCTTGGTTTTGGAATCAGAGATGGACTTGAAACTCTTGAGGAGATGGTCTCCAAGGATAAAGTAACGTTTTTTAGAGAAATGCAAACCGAATCTGTTGGATCTGATTATATACAACCAACCTTCCATCTTCCTCTCGCTCTCGTTCTCACCCATTTGGTTAAACCCAGAAAAGCTTCTTTTACACTGTCATAACAAGTTTCTTGATCTCCAAGGACCCAACAACCAAACCAAACCAAACCCTAGAGGATATTTCGATTACACACCACACAAACTCTCTCTCTCTCTCTCTCTATTATAAAACGACAAACCCAGAAAGAGAAGAAGATAATCGAGAGAGTAGAGGAAGAGGGAGGGTTAATAATTGTACCCAGAAAGATTCGATTTTTCTTTATTTTCTTAAAAGGGAAACTAAAGATATCGTCATTGCTTTTGATCTCTCCTCTCTCTCTCTCTCTCTCTCTCAGATTCAAATGTTTCTTTTTTAGAGAAGAAAACTGTATACTTTGATCCAAAAAGAAAATTGAATTCTTCTTTTTGGGGGGCGAATGTGCAAAGAGTCGAAGAGATTGG